TTACTGCTATTTTCATTGTAAGCTATAACATTTCAAACCTTTATTACTTTATCTTAACCCGCCAGCCTCATCTTTCTCTGGTATTTTGTTTTAAATCTGTGATCTATTAGTGATATGCATATATATTTTTATAAAGAATATACTTATATTTATTTGTATTATGTAGTATATAATAGGACTCAGGTGAAGCTAGTGTCCTTAATGTACAGAAGGACTTAAAATAAAATCCAGGAACCCATGTATATCTTCTTATTAGTGAATTTTGTCTCTATGCTCTTGAGTAACATAGTGTTTTTAACCTATTTTTTCTTTAACCTAGAGATCTCTTTAGCCAAATGGAATTTTTAAGTAAAACTTTATTATATACAATCAATGACAGTGACCTCTTTCTCCCAGTTAGCTCAAGTTTCCTCACTTTCTTAGGTTCTTCCATTACAGAATAGTTCTGATTGGGTACGAACAACTTAGAATATATTTGTTTGTATGAGAATTCCTGAGATGAGAATCTATTCTAAGTAAATTTATATTATAGTAAATTTATATTAAAAGGTTTAAAATAAAGAAGAAGATATATTGAGGGTCCAAGTTTAGTTATGGAGTAGAGGAAGTGATAGGGAAAGGTTGTTATCAGTTACAGGGAAAACATATGAGGAAACTCCTGGTGTGGTGCTGTGGGTTAATGAGCCAGACTGCAAAGCTGTTTGAACTGCAAGATTGGCAGTTCAAGCTCACCCACTGTTCCTTGTAAACCCTATGCAGGGTAGCTATGGGTTGGAACCAATTTGACGGCACTTCACAACACAACAACAACCTATTCATCATCATATCAGGGGCAGAGAAGTTGAGTCACAATAGAAAGATTTACTAATACATATATCGCTATGGGTCAGAACCGACTCGACGGCACTTAACAACAACAAATATAATAAAGCAACTCATTTTATGTGACTCACTATCCTTACTTTAAAGCAACCAAAACATTATGTACTTGATATCTAAGAGCTATTTCCAGATCCCATAAAAAAACATTGAAACGTTTACTATTTATTTTTCTTTCCAATAACGCTAAAAGAAAGTGGTCTTTTGTGTAGTTCTGCAAAAAGAAACGGACATATTTTTAATCTTTAAATCAGAAGTGCAGGTATAATTAATATTAATAATAATCAATATGTCTATTCACTGGGACATTTCTCTGTATAAGGGCAAATGATCCCCACTATGATCCATTAGTGGAGCCTGGTGTGGTGCTATAGGATAAGCACTGCATCACAAGGTCACTTTGAACCTAAAAGTTGGCAGGGTCTCTATGAGTCATAAATGACTGGACAGCACTTAACAACAAACAGCAACATGATTTATCAGAGTTTAAAATTCCATTTGGATAAAGAGTTCCTCTAGTTTAATACCTGTGTTCAGTCCCTATGAAATGCTCTACTTCAGTCTGTACCACTTATGGCACAAGGACTTTTAGAGAACGATGTTTTCAAGTAAGGCATTTCAAATGTTCCCACACAGTTTTAGAATTTGCACTTTAAAATTATATCATGTAATTAACATTATAATTATGAAAATTTGTTATAGTTGATGCTACATAAGTGAAAAATAGAATTTAATAAGCATTCATATAGCTAACATCCTAATTTTTATATTATATTTGTATATACATATTTATATCAATGATATCAAGAGATCTGCTAATGCTGTGTAATTCCAGGATAAGCATAGGGCGGCTAACAACAGCGTTCTCAGCTCAAACCCATTAACCACTATAGGGGAAAATGAGCAGGCTATCTGCTCCCGAAACAATTTATAGCCTCAGAAATCCTAGACATTGTCACTATGAGTTAGAAAAGACTCGATGGCAGTGAGTTTTGGGTAGAGATATATCAGGTATTCTGAACTTCAACCCTAATAAAATTTCAGCCTGGAAGTGTGTTATTGTGGGAAGTTGGCCTGATTATAACAGAATATTTACAAAGATCACAGGCCTGGAACTATGAGACACTAGCAGCCTTCCCACAACTGACTTCCAACGCATCCTAGACATTGACAAATATACTTTGAAGAGCAAATTTTCCCCAATTGGTAACCAGTTAGCTTTCTTTCTCTCCATCTTTTCCTTTCACCATTTCTCTGTCTCTATGTCCATATGCTTTGTTTGTGGGTGTGGTGATTTTATCTTTAAATAACAAAGTTGAAAAGTTTGAATTTGTCTTATTCAGTGAGTAAACTGGGTTTGTATACAAAAATATACCAGTTGACACTACATAAAAGTTATTGACTCCACCAATGTCTCTATCCAGAATAGGTTTCCTTATAGTCTTTAGATGGACAAACACAATACAACAATACTGAATGAATTCATCCTAATGGGAATCACCAACCGCCCTGAGCTGCAGGTTCCATTGTTTGTGCTGTTCCTCATCATCTACATGATCTCAATGGTGGGCAACTTGGGCATGATCATCCTCACCATGATAGACTCCAAGCTACAAACACCAATGTACTTTTTCCTCAGACACCTGGCTATCACGGATCTTGGTTACTCAACAACTGTGGGACCCAAAATGTTGGTGAATTTTCTTGTGGATGAAAATAGAATTTCCTATTATTTTTGTGCTATACAGCTCGCTTTCTTTCTCGTGTTCATTGTTTGTGAAATTTTCATTTTATCAGCCATGTCCTATGACCGCTATGTGGCCATCTGTAACCCTCTGCTCTATGCAGCCATCATGTCCCAAAGGGTATGTCGAGCACTGGTGACAATCCCTTATCTCTACAGCACCTTTGTTTCTCTTCTGGTCACCATAAAGATTTTTAACTTAACCTTCTGTGGCTACAATGTCATCAGTCATTTCTACTGTGACAGTCTACCATTGTTACCTTTGCTTTGCTCAAACACACATGACACTGAATTAATCATTCTCATTCTAGCAGCTTTTGATTTGATTTCATCCCTTCTAGTAGTTCTTGTCTCTTACCTGCTCATCCTTATCACCATTCTCAGGATGAACTCTGCAGAAGGTCGGCGCAAGGCCTTTGCTACCTGCGCATCCCACCTGATAGTGGTCGTAGTATTCTATGGGACTTTGATCTTTATGTATGTTCAGCCCAAGTCCAGTCATTCCTTCAACACTGATAAAGTGACTTCTATATGTTACACTCTGGTTATTCCCATGTTGAATCCATTGATCTATAGTTTGAGGAACAAAGATGTAAAATATGCCCTACAGAGGACATGGAAAAATATATGCAATATATTTTCTAAAGTTTGATGTACCATATAATTCCTATAGTACATTTTAGGCTTTATACCTTCCTTTGTGTGCCTACAGAAAAAATATAGTAAGCACATATATATTCAACATATATTGAAAAATTACTTCTGCATGCCCATCACTATTCCAAATGCTGTAATTGAGAAGAAAATAACAGAATCTTTCTCCTTTCCTGAATGGTTGATATTGATCATAAGCTTAGTAATAAATAAATTCTATAGTATGCACGGTAGAATATGTTGAAGACCACAAATCAGGCAAATGAATAGATATTCTGAATGTGAGTGGATACTGAATGTCAATGGGAAAAAGCACTTGGTAAAAAAGTGGATTACAAGATTCTAGTGTTTCTTTTTTAAACTATTAGAATAAACATTGTAATGTCGATCTATATGTGTGCGTTTGCATTTATTTAAGCCCTTGCTTTCTGTTTTAGCTTTCAACGTATTGTGGTGTGTATTAGATTCAGGCCAGGTTGCAAGGAATCTTAGTGTAGGGTGATGATTTGCAATATTCCGTTATCTGTATTTGCTCAAATGAATTTATTCCATTCCTTGGAGCTCTGCTCCTTTCTTATAAATGCTTTCATATTCGCATATGTCTGTTAGCTCAACAAGTTTTGTAATTTAGGAACCCACAGGTTTAGTTCAACATATGGCTTTGTTTCAATCATATCATAATGTGCACCAATTAAGACACATTTCTTTACGCCAATCACCGATGCACCCAGGTTTCCTGATTGTTCTTATTTAAGGTTTTGTTGTTTTTATTTCATGGGTTGTTTTCTTATCTACATAAAAAAGAACTAAAAGATTTTGTTCTTTTCTTTCTGTGTGTGTTGTGTGTATGTATACTTCTTTGAATAACAGGTATCTATGAGAATTATATTCTGACTTCTTTCATCACTTTGGCTTTTCTAGACTTTGCCCAATATTGGTTATGTATTGCATTTTCATTGACTTTTAGTTTCCCAACCATGCTGTATTTCTAATTCAAATAGAGTTTATTATGTATCAATGATGTAGTTATCTTTCTGTGTGGACATAGCTGCTACATGTTGTTCCTCAAATTTTTCCATGTATTTTTATTGATTACTTTTCTCTTTTTAAGATTTCTTAGATTTTATTGAAGCTACTGGAATCTATAGATTTTATAGAATATATAGCAGGTTCAGAAGATTCTGTAGAAATTAAATTTTAGGAGACTCTATAGAATAAATAACATCAAGATAAATGGAGAGACGATTGGAGTTGTCAAAGACTTCATTTTGCTTGGATCCTTCATCAATACTCATGTAAGCAGCAGTCAAGAAACCTAATGACATATTGCATTAGGCAAATCTGCTGCACAAGACCTCTTTAAAATGTTTAAGAGCAAAGATTCAGTTTGAGGACTAAGATGCACCTGACCCAAGCCATGGTATTTTCAATAACCTCATATGCATGTGAAAGTTGGACAGTGAATAAGGAAGATCATAGAAGAATTGATGCATTTGAGTTATGGTGTTGGAAGATAATATTGAAAGCACCATGAAATGCTAATAGAACAAACCTATTTGATGAGACTGTGTAAGAGAAGGTGTGGGCAGATGTTGATAGGACTGTACAGTGAGTGATTTCTAATACGGTTAATTGTAATTGCAAAAACTTAGAAATCTAGTGATGTGCTAGTTCAATTTTGCCATCCTGCTGGTCATCAAATGATGGGAGTGAACTATGTACTCCTTTGTTTGACTAACCCAGCTCTCCTCTATCTGACATCTGGTTCTTGGGTCTTATTATGTCAGGGAACTGACTTGATTTGCTAGTTTCCCCAGTCTTGTGAACCAGAAACCCAATTCTGTGTAATTGAGGAGAATTATCCAGACTGATTTCTGAACTTGCCTGCCTCCACAACCATGTGAACTATTTCTATGATGGCTCTAGAATTCTGTGATATGATGCAAGGCACTGTGGAATCCTGAAACATAGGCAGACTACTGAGAGAAGGATTAGTGGTTGAGCTAAGAGATTATGGAGCAGTAGATGACTTGAGAAATTTTGGACATCTGGGAGTTCTTTAGCCTCCACTGTATAGGAACCAGTCTCATGCTGATGTGTCTTTAAAAATATATTGTTACAGTAACCAGTGAAATTTGAATAACAGTAGCTCATTGGAACATATAGTGAACATTCTGTTGTTTGATCATAAGTATGTCTAAAGAGTTGAAGCAGTTAGAAAATTAAATGACAATCAGCAACTCCAGGTTTATTGAATGTTACATCATAGTCATTCTTCAGGTCATCATTAATTTTCTACAGCTCTGTGAAGTAGGCTCTATTAATATTAAATTTTTTAAAAGAGTTTGAGGGTCAGAAAGAACAAATCAATTATTCAAATCATTAATGTTACATTTATATATCTCCAAGTTCAGAGAGATGTTGGGAATTTGAACCAGGTTTCAAACACATATGGTCTAGCTCCAGTTTTCTTGCTAATAACAGCTACTCTATATTATCTCTTAATGTCAGTTTTCTGTTTCAATAATGATATCCTTGTGGTTACAGAGAGTAAAACTTCCCTCTGACAGGTATCAGATTGGAAGAAGAGAAACAACACTGGGGTTCATAAAATAATGAATGCTTAAGAAAATATCTGAGAGAGAAAATAAAGGCTATTAATGGATCAATAAATGGACTAGCAGCAAACTACTTTTCATTCTTAATGAGTGACTGCACAAGCCAAAGTGTGTCCAGCATCACAAAGTGGATGAAGGACATAGTCTAGAGAGGTTTTAAATAAATGTGTAGTGGGAGATATCAGGGATTAAGTAATAGGGAATAAGCTGAAAGTAAGTAAACAAGGAAGGACCCACTTAAAGAAATAATTTTTGAATTTCTGACTTTCAAAATATACCAGTCTTTTAAAAATAAAGAAGAAAGTAAAATGCAAACAACAACAGCAAAAGCTGTTGCTACTCACTATTGCTAATGATGTGTAGAATTCTTTCAGGGGCTTGTCAACATGGAGGTTATGTCCATGAAAAGGGAAGGCCTGTGAGACGATTTATTCCCCATCACCTTCTGTTTCCTGGATCTTGTTAACTTTAATGATAAAAGATTGGCAAGGATACTTTGATCATGCTGAGCTCCCGAACCAAGAGAATTAGTAGTCCCCACTACTGGATTTTTTTCCCCGTTTGAACTTAAATTCTCATCCTTAAGCTAATATTTATTGAATGGTTTATTTAATATTTGCATGGGAAAAGTGTTTCTAGATGTTACAATAGGGAGAGCCTGAAATACCACATGCAATTGTGAAGAATGGGCATCGTGGAATTCTGGTGTGTGCAATGTATATAGACAAAGCTGTAAATGAACCAAGTGAAAATGTGCAATGTATTGGATAGTGCCATGATCAATGTAAACATCTCAGATCGCCCCAACACAGTAATCAGACAAATCAAAATGAACAATGCCCAACTCTGAAAAATCCAACAAGCCAAAGAAAATAAATTTAATCAACCTCTATAAATTTTCATTGAAAGAGTGTCAGAAAATAAGAAAGACAGAGAAAATGAGCAAGATACACAGAGAGAAAGAGCAATAAGAAAATACTGAAAAGCTTGAGTTTATGAATTAAATATCACAACAGTTAAAATGAGAAATGATCTGTGATTCATCAAAATATTAAGTGATCTCTAACTTGTTGTTGTAGTTAGGTTCCTCTGACTCAATTCTGGCTCATTGTGACCCTTTGTACAAGATAATGAAACATTGTTTGGGCCTGCTCTAACCTCACAATTGTTGCTGTTGTTACAGCCACTGAGTTAATCATTCTTATTGATGGTCTTTTTCCCACTGATCCTCTTTTTTATCAAGCATGATGCCTTTCTATAGAGACTGGATCCTCCTATCAAGTGTCAAACTATATTTGCATGTCATTTTTTAATTAGAGAAAGCTACAACAGGGCAGAGGAGACAGAGAGAATTTAACTAATTGATACCCAAGACGTCACTGGATTCCCTAGAAAAAAAGTAAACCATTGCAGAGCTTAACCCAAATGCTATGAGGCAGGGAAGTTTCAGAAGTCAAGTTACAGAAGGAGCAATATTCTAATTCCCAGTATATGTGAACAGCATATCCCATAAATGTGAGGGGCTTCTTTACATCATGTGATGTTTCTCCAAGTTGCAACAGTGTCATATTCCAGAAGTTTACCTTTTAGTTATAGACTGTTTTACCAATATACAATAGTAACTAATAAGAACAGATTTATATAAGCTTCTTCATGAGGATAAAACTATTTAGTATGGTATTATTTTGCCTAAATCCCAGCAAACATGTGCAATATATGAAATAACAATAAAGTATAAGAACAGATGCATCTCTCTGTTTATAAAATTCTTAACTGCTTATAGCAGTAGAAATTAATCAACCCTGTTCCTATAGTGAGGTGTTGTTAATTTGGTCCTGACTCATACAGATTGAAGTTGTCAAGGACTTCATTCTTCTTGGGTCAACTATCAACACTCGTGGAAGCCACAGTCAAGAGACCAGACTACGTATTGCATTGGGCAAATCTGCTGCACAGGAACTTTTTAAAGTATTGAAAAGCACAGATATCAGCTTGAAGACTAAGGTGTGCCTGACCCAAGCGATATGGATGTGAAAGCTGGACAGTGAATAAGGAAGATCATAGAAGAATTGATGCCTTTGAGTTGTGGTGTTGGAGGAGAATACTGAAAGTGCCATGGACTGCCAAAAGAACCAATAGATCTGTTTTGGAAGAAGTGCAACCAGAATGCTCCTTGGAGGCCAAGACGGCTAGGCTTCGTCTCTCATTCTCTGGACACATTTTCCGGAGAGAACAGTCGCTGGAGAAGGATGTCATGCTGGGTAAGGTGGAGGGTCAGAGAAAAAGAGGAAGACCCCCAATGAGATGGATCAGCTAGATTAAAAGAGAATGGTAATTAAAGGGGACTAGAAATTGACCAGTGAAAGAGACCTCCTGTGTA